GAGATTTGACAAAACGAAATCTTCACCCTTGGGCCAGTAATCTTCCAGTTGACGTTTTTGTGGCTATATTAAACGAAGGATATTCTAGGTTTAACGAAGCTGATATGACTATAAAGGGAAACGATATGGAATTGTTCCGTTTTTTATCGGCTGGACCATTAGTCATCAGTCAAGCAGAAAGGAAGCTGAAAGAAAATATAAAGTATATAGAAGAATTAATTCAAAAAATGTTATTTATTCCTCTACCTCCGAGACCTAAAATGAAATACGCCATACTGTTGAATATTTACAAAGAACACAAGCACCCGAAGAATATCCCCCGAAAGACGGATATGAAAACGATAGGCAATTAAACGTAATTGCTCGTTCCATCCTAATTTATCCTGATCTAGTATTGTTGTGGAAATCGATAGGTTACGTTGAAATATGCAGGGATGTGAATGATCTAGTCTTACAGGGTGCATTATTAATTCTATTTCCCCAAAATCCTTCGGAATCCTACATTCTTCCTAATGTTAGTGACGTTGTTTAATAGACTTGAACAACTTATTAAGTTAGGTTTTCACTTATCAACTTCTGTGATGGCTGATGCATATCACATTTTTGAGTCCAAATTAGAGACTGTTGGAAATATAGTAATCAAGGCTTTTCAAAAAATTCAAGGGAAAACTTGTGAAGACATTGCATCCGAATGTTTAAAACAAATAGTAAAACCAGAAAAAAATTTGAAGAAAACCAAGTCCTTGATTTTTTAATTAGATTTATTGAACCTGAGAAAGGGCAGTAGTTATTAACGGAATATTGGACGAATCTGGAGGTGGTATTAAAAAAAATGAAATCAAAAAGATTTGCGAATTATTAGATAAACCAACAGAAATAATTTCTCTTAAATTTTGTTCGGTGTTTTATAAATGGAGTCTTACCGAATTTAATCACATCCTAAAATTATTGAAAAATGCTTTGATGACATTATTATAGCCCCGAGTCGCGATTGACATAAGATTAAAAGATCAAATGAAGCAAAAAGAAAGGTTAAAGAAATATCAAAAGAAGTCACGGAAGAAGAAACTGAGCTAGAGAAATTACGACAGAAGAAATTATAACGAATGAAATTACAATAAAAGAAGCAATGACGGAAGAAACTACATTAAAGGAAATGACGCCTTGTGCATGTAAGGCCATTTACTCGTTATATGCAGCTTACTGTGCGTCTGGAGTGCCATTCACAAAATACCACTTATTCATTATCGGAAAAGCCGCTTCTAAAGATATAATTATTCCATTTTTTGATTATATGGGTGAATCGCTAAAGAAAGACGAAAAGTATTTGAAACCAATGGTTTTGAGGATAACAAAAGGTTAGGGGATAAACGGGCTAACTAATACCACAATAATGAAGTCCATAATTTAATAATGCTGGATTTGAGAGCCTAGTTCATTAGTTATTGAAAATATTTCTTGTGAAGACAGATACAAAAAGTTTTTACAAAAATTTAGAACTTCGAGTAAGAAGAGATAAAATCACTATCACGAACATAAATTCCATAGTTTAATGATGTTTGATTGGAGTAGTTATATTAATACTGTCAATTCAATATTATAATTTATGAAATTTTTGTTTGTGATACTGGTTTTGCTCTTCTTACTCGAAATTCTACGTGCATATGAGTTCTTTGTTTTCCTCAAAATAATAAACTAAAAAATGTTTTTTATTTTTGCGGACAATGACCTTTGTAATCAATAGTTTTTGTGTGGTTCGAAGAAAGACATCGTTTCCCTTTATTGCTTTCTTAAGAATTGGTTTTTTTTTCGGGTGTTGTTCTATCTATATTTATTAAATTCGCATGATTTAATAGGTACATATTCTTGTTATTATGTCATTTTGCTTTATTATTTGTGTTGCGAATTTTTCTATCAACGTATGGAAAATCCGATTCTTATTATGTAAGCATTTAATCGAGTTTTAATCGCCGAATAAAGACGAAAGGTATTTGAAATACAATAATATTGAAAAAAACAAAAGGCTATGAAATAAACTCAATTCTTCGGGTAAAAAGAAGAAAAATCAGTATCACAAGATCAAAGTCCGCAAATAATGCTGGATTGGATAAATAGGCTCATATATATGTATAATAATAAGATAAACACAGCAAGCACTTCCCATTTTGATAACAATTTCTCGAAATTCATGAATCTTCTTAGCAAAACTACTCTCTATACGGAATATAAAAATTATATTAAAGATGGAAAGACTAACGACCGAGGTCGCAATTCTTAATGTTAAGAACAAATATATAAAAATATTAAATCTGTATTTTATAGGAGTCTTTTGATTTTGCATGGACCAAGAACATTCTTAGTACATATGCTAATTTGACATTAAGGGAAAGCGGATATATTTTTGAAGGAGAAAAATAGTGAAATTCATATCACAACAGCCCAATTAAATTGTAATAGGATAGTCCTTAGGGGTAATACCTTGATTGCATATTGGGTAATGTTTGAGATCAAGAATTTCAAAAAAGAAGTTAAAACCATAGGTATAGTGATTTTAGTTTGCGAATGCTTGATGAATATAGTATCGGAGTTTACCATAAAGCGAGGGTACATACGCTATCAGAAAGCATCTATATATTATTTATATCACAAGCTCATCTCATGTATCATAACTATTCCTTTTGATAAAAGAGTTAGTCAGCTTCTAAATATTAATTCTAGAATTAGATATATATATCAAAGTCTGACATGTATTAACAAATTTTATTCAACTCTATTTTACTATTGTAGATGCGACTTGTAAGTATGAATAATGTTTATTTGATATTATGTTATGGTGTTTCTTACATTTATTACATCATACCTAACATTATTATTAATTATGCCTTTAGGATTACTAGCGATTCCCCCTCACTATTCGTGTTCGAATTTTTAAACTTTTCGTCAAAGGATGGATTAGCGGAAATGACGATATTGTAATTGCTTTAAATAATTTCAATTTAAACATCTACATATGAAGACGTAATGGACAGATTTCTATAATATCTACTTGACTTGCAAAAAATAGATGCTGATATTATGGTTAGATGGGATACGAAAGGTTATATACCTCATGTTTACTTATCTTCATTGCCATCAATTTATTTATAATTATTTACTTATTACTATCTTCATTCGATCTTTACTTTGATATATTCTTATATGATATTATCATTATCATATTATTATATAGTATATACAGTATTAAAAAAAAAATGAAAATGAAAACAAGTAGGAATTTATGGGTTTACATTTTTACATTTTTAATACATTTTTTATCTCAATTTTTTATTATATGGATCGAAATATTCGGTTTCGTTTTCTCGTTCTATTATCTTTTATTTATTTCTATAAAAATGCCTTATTACGTTATGTTTTCATTCATGACAATTAACTAACATTTACAATATTTTCCAATCATTGCTTCGAACTTCGTAGTATTGATGGGAAGGCTTGACTAGATAGTTTTTTAGTGCGTTCATTTCATCAAATCAATGAATTCAAACCGTA